GATGCACTGGGGAAGATATGTTGTGACCAGATGGATAAAAGCCGAAACTGCCCAGCTGTACTTATCAGAACATCAAGGACACAGTGTCCCTGAGACTCCAGGGGACCTCCTTCAATTGCCTGTCCCAGAAGCCACCAGCCTCTGCTGACTTCTAAACCTCACACCCACCCTTCTGCCCAAACACCCCAGCATCAGGTCACCTCCCTGGGCACCCTGCAGGACTGAGGGCTGGCCCCAGGAGGAGTGGGCTGGCCATTGCTGAAGGTCAGCGAGGCAGGCCGCGCCCCCTCGCCGAGGTAGTGGAGCGGTACCGCTGGGCACAGACACAGGCAAACACGTTTGAGCAAATTGGCATGCCATAAAAGTCTATTACAGCAAATCAAACAGCAGTCAGCGTGACAGCCATTAGGCTGAAATGAATACACGGGGGCTTAATGAGGTCTGTCGAGGCTGGCTTGGTGAATTAAGTTGCCAATTCTAGCAGGATTTCCCTTTTCTTATGGACTTGAAAGCATCCACGTTCCCTCGTTAGCGCTTCGACAAGTGAATTGCAGGGCCTTTCGCCCTGATAAAATGGATAATTACATAGAGAGCCGCTTTGCGAGGGGAGAAGGGTGGGCAGGAGGGAAGAGAGCACAAACAAACGCAAACACACACCTGCCTGCCTTCTCCCCAGCGGACAGACTGGACTCTCAGGGGGAACAGGGCCAAGGCTGGGCAGGCAGTTCGGGGTGGGGGACTGGGCCTGTCCTTGAAGTGCCTCCCACCCCACTATTCCTAACCCTAGGGACTAGGGTCCCTGTGGGCCATGTTTCCTAGCAGCTGTGGGCCATTGAATGTTTTCATCCAAGACAGCCTGCCCTCAGTCACCAGCCTGCAGATTTCCAGCATCCCTGGAACAGGCCTATAACACCAGCTACTTGGAAGGTAGAGGAAGGAAGATCACACGTTTAGGTCAACCTAGGCAACTTTGCCAAACTCTGTCTCAAAATCAATTTTAAGTTGTTGGGGGATGGAGTTCAGTGGTGGAGCACTTACCTAAACATGCTCTAGGCCCATGCTGGTTTGCCAACTGGGGCTTGAGCCAGGCAGCTCGGTGACAACACCAGGCCCAGGCTAAGCCATGCCAAGCTACCTTGGGTCAGAAGTGGCTGAGCCTCTGTCTAGTTGATATCACACCCCATGGCCCAAACCCAGAGTCAAGTATCAGGTCATGGAGTGACTGGGGGTGTCTACTCACAAGCAAATAAACCCTACAGGCTTCCCTCCCAGCACTGTGTGCCCTCTGCAGCCACCTTCCTCAGCAGGTGGCAGGAGGCACTCATTCTCGCCCACCTCCCTTCTTTCTTATGTAGCAAGGAGGACTAGGACCCACAGGGGTTAAAGGCCATGTCCAAATGGACCCAGTAACCTAAGAACAGGGCAGGAGTACACCCCTGAGTCCTAACTGCCAGGCTCTGCTCCTGGAGCCTCTCAGGTCTCCAAGGAATGACAGCAGCACAGAGCAAAGCCACAGTATACACTGGATGAATCCTTGCTATCTGAATGAGTTGACAGCAGATACCTAGAGTCTTGAAGAACCCAGAAGGGTAGGAGTTCCAGCAGGGCTGTGTGCTCTGCAGGAGGAGAGCAAAGGGTTGGCCCCCAGCCCAGGAGCTGGGAAGGAGGGACATGACCGTTTGTCCTCTCTTGGCCCTGCTGCTGTCTGCCACCCCCTCTCCAGGAAGGACAGAGGGCAGCCGGGCCTGCCAGGACAGCAGCTGAGCAATGGGCACAAGGCTCATTAACTCTGAGCCATGTCCTTGGTTTCTGAGCCCAGGCTTGGAGTGCAGGCTGTCACATAGAACCCCTTAATTAAATTAGGGACACTTCCAAATGAGTGAGAGCTGGGAGCCAAGCTTTTGTCCCTGGGCATGGCCACAGTGCAGGGCACTATGCCCCCATGCTGTGAACAGTGGACTCTCTCTCCTACTAGTCTATCCCAGGCAAGGAAGGGGCCTAGGTACCTCTGGGCAATCCCAGCCTCACAGTTGTCCTCCTACCGTCCAACTGACACAAACATAGACCACTGGTTCACCACTGTGTGATGAGGGCCAGGCCCTCCAGGGCATGAGTCAAGATCTCTTCATCCTCCAGGGAATCTTAGACTGCCCAGGAGTGTGCTGGATAGCTTTAGTGTCAACTTGACACACCTGGGTTGAGGGAACCTCAATTGGGAAATTGCCTCTATTGGACTGGCCTGTGGCCATGTCTGAGGGGCATCTTCTTGAGTGATGTGGGAGGGCCCAGCCCACTATGGGTGATGCCACCCCTGGGCAGGTGGGCCTGTGTGGCATAAGAAAGCAGGCTGAGCAGGGGCCAGGGGAGCAAGCCTGTAAGCAGCATTCCTCCATGGCCTGTGCTCCAGCTCCTGCCTCCAGGTTCCTGCCCTGAGTTCCTACCTTGGGCTCCCTGATGAACTGCAACCTGGGAGCTACAACATGGATGAAACTTGAAAGCATTATGACAAGTACAAAAAGCCAGGTTCACAGGGATAAATATTGTATGATTCATTTACATGAAATGCACACAATAGGTGAAGCCATAGAGATCAGAGGTAAATCAGTAGGGAGCTGTGGAGGCAGCTCAGTCAGTAAGTGTTGCTGTGCAAGGAGGAGGACCTGAGTTTGATCCACAGCACCCACGTACAATGTTATAAAATGTCGGATGTGGTGGTATGTACCTCTAATCCCAGTACTGGGGAGGTAGAAACAGACAGAATCCTGGGGCTTGCTGGCCATCCAGTCTAGCCTAATTTACAAGTCCCAGACCAGTGAAACCCTGCCTCAAAAACAAGGTGGACAGTCCTAAGGAAGAACACCCTAGGCTGACCTCTGTTCTCCACATATACATACACCCACACATGTGAACACACACACACACACAAACACACACATTAGTGGTTTCCTATGGCTAGAAGAGAGGGAACATGGGCACAGACTGCTCCTGAGTATGAGGTTTCTTTCTGTAGTGATGAAAATGTTTTGATATTGATTTGGTGATTGAAGCACAACTTTGTGACTATGTTAATAGCCACTGAATGGCGCGCTTTCATGAATAAGTTCTATGACATGCAAATTACATCATAACCTGTAAAGTACAAAATATTAGAAAGCTGCAACCCCAAGTCCCAGGGTCCAAGCTTTCTCAGTCTCCACCTGGTTGCCTACTGACTTGGTCACGTTGTCAAGGGGCTCAGCTGGGTTTGAGAATTGATTTATGTTTAGTTGGCATCCAGCTATTTGGGATTATAAAAAAAAAAGATTGATTCCATCACCTAAGAGACAACAGTTTAGTATAACATTCCTACAGAGAAAAGGCTGAACTATATTCCTATGATTTTTCAAAGGAAGGAGCGAGTGTTTACTTCCTGTGAACATAGCATTTGGATCTAGAAATTCGACAGCTTGTCTTGCTGTGGAGTCTCCGGGAATGACCTAAATTTTGTGCTTTGTGCTTTCTTCACTTATGAAATGTCGATGATGACAGCACCTAAAACCTAGGGATGCAATGAGGATTAAAATACACAAAACACTGAGCAAAAAAAGGCCTAGCACATTGCAGAATAAATTTGTTATTTGATTTCTGCTTCAAAGGCTTGATGAATCTGTTTCTACTACCTATGTCTTTCCCTTATGTGCTGGATAGCTTTAGTGTCAACTTGACACACCTGGGTTGAGGGAGCCTCAATCGGGGAAGTGCCTCTATTGGACTGGCCTGTGGCCATGTCTGAAGGGCATCTTCTTGATGAGTGATGTGGGAGGGCCCAGCCCACTGTGGGTGGTGCCACCCCTGGGCAGGTGGGCCTGTGTGGCATAAGAAAGCAGGCTGAGCAAGGGCCAGGGGAGCAAGCCTGTAAGCAGCGTTCCTCCATGGCCTGTGCTCCAGCTCCTGCCTCCAGGTTCCTGCCCTGAGTTCCTACCTTGGGCTCCCTGATGAACTGTGACCTGGGAGTTGTAAGACAAATAAACCGTTTCCTCCCCAAATTGGTACTAGTCAGAGTGTTTTGTCACAGCAATGAAGAATAAACTAAGACAAGGAGTCAGGGTCAAAGTCATAGCTGTGTGACCTTGGGCAAGTTCTACTCTCACCTAAGCCTATGGGATAGTCTTGCAAGCCTCTTTCCATTCTCTGATCCAGAGACAGGTGATATAAGGGAGTTAGGACTCAAGTGCCTGGTGCCAGTCTGCCTTTCCAGAAAACTCTCTCTTCCCATCATTCCCACCCCAGCCCTAACTGCTGCCACTCCATCTGGAGTCCCCAGGGCAGGCCTGAGGATCACCCAGTTAGAAGCTCTTTACTATTCCCACCCCAGTCAGGGTTTTTACATAGCTAACAGCCTCTAAGACTGCTATCAGCTGCCATGGCAAGGGACAGCAAAAGGCAAGAGCCCTGGTGCCTTTGGGAGCCAAGAGTCAGATTATTAACGAACCGTTTGTAATGCAATAATTTGTACTTCTCAATTACCAGCAATGGCTTGATTTTACATGCATGCACTCATGCAAACATACTCAGGGTACACAGAACAGAAGCCAGGGGGAGTGTGGGCCAGAACGCATAGCTAGGGACCTGAAGGTTCCCCTAATCCTTAGGGACCAAATTCTGGCCAAAGCAAACAGGATTGGGACAAGACCTACCTACTTACCCCATCCAAGACCCACACCAGACTAGGAATGGAAGACAGTGTAACTCCTGTCTCATGCAGCTCATGTCCCTTTCCCCAGGAACATGTGGGGCTCCACAGGACAGGCCTTGCCTCAGGACTAAGGTTCTACCCACTGACCCACCCACCCTTCCCACTACAGGACTGGTGGCTCTCATCCACAAAGTGGATGCTGGGTTAGATTGGGGGCAGCGGATGGCTGCAGTTGATCTCCACACATCTCACCATCTTGTCTGGAGAAGTCCTCCTGTCTCTCTCTCTCTCACACACACACACCATGACCCCAGAAGGTTCCTACCTCAGGGATGCGCACGCTGTAGGGCTGGTTGTGAAACGTGGGTGCATTATCATTCACATCCCCAACCTGGATGTTCACCTTCCTTGTGATCACCTGGGGAGAGAAGGGAGGGGCTCAGTTCAACTACCTCCCTCTCACTCCTTTCCACCACCAAAGGCCCAGGGACATGCCAAATCCAGGAACTGGCCTCCCAGGGCAAGTGGGGCTCAGGGAACACTCACCCCCTGGTGGTCGCTGACTGAGAACTCCACTGTGAACTCCGACTTAGTCTGAAAGAAGAGGAAGGGAGGGAAGAGGGCAGTTAGAGAGGCGTGCTGAGAAACTGGGTTCCTAGGTGTGGGCCCTGGGCATAGCTGCAGGGCTTCTAGCACTTCCCAGGGCCTCATCTAGGCCTGGGGTTCAAATGTGTCCCTGAAAGTTAGGACTGTCCTCTGCACTGGGGAAGCAGCCGGAAGATTTGGATCATTCCTCAAAAGAGCAGTAAGCAAAGAAAGTTGAGAGTCATGGGTGCTTGTCTTGGCTCTGCCTCTGTGTGGCTGTGTGATACTGAGCAAGCCATTGGGCCCTTTTGTGTCCAGTTCCTGAGAAATGGAGTTGTAGAAGGCAAGGCTTGGGGCTGTATCCAAACCCTTTCTTTCATTTGCTAAGGACTACCATACTGTGAACTGCTACTGTTCTAAAGACTGGCTTTTGGAGGTAAGTTTGTTGGCGGTAGGGGTAGACCGATAGGCCCACAGGGTCCTATTTCACAAGGGATAACCTCAGGGTTACTCTGTCTCTCTTGCTGACTTAGAGACCCTAATCTGTCCCATTCCAAGCCCAGGTCCACCTACCCTTGAAACAGGATGAGGCCCCAGCAGAGGTAGAATGGGGTCTTGAAGGAAGGTCCCTCCCAAGATGCACTCTGTGCGTGCATCTGCCCTGCTCCTGAGAGGACTGGGACAGGGAAGTGGAATGTCCTACCTCCCTGTCCAGTGGCTGCCGGAGCCACACCACGCCAGTGTCAGGCTCTACTGCAAAGAAGCGGGAGGCCTCCTCTCCAGACACGCCAAACACCAGGGGATCATTGTCCATGTCTCGGGCCAGCAACTGGGTCACAGAAGAACCTGGAGTGACCAAACAAGAGAGAACAGGACAACAGAAAGGTCAGGCTCATTCTTTCTCACTTTTCTCAAGTGATGGGGCTTCCCCAGGGTACAGCCACCTGACAAACTTCCAGCAGATCACCAACCATCTTAAGACACCCCCCTCCAGCCTTGGGCTGACTCAGGCTTTCCACTTCTGTCCTGGCCCACTTGTCACAGGGTGTACATAGCTGTAACATGAACTATCATCACCATGTTCTAGGTGAGAAACCAACAGCTAGGTCTCTAATTTGGAGACCTTTCTCTGGATGGCTCAGATGAAGGCAGGCCTCTGTAGCTTCAATTCCTATGTTCCAAGATGACTGCATAACTCAGCCCTAGCCAATCAGAGCATCCCACCTCCCCCAACACAATGACGGGCACAGAGGTGAGCACACGATCCAAACTAGACAATGGAAGTCAACCCTGGGATTGAGCTCTTCTTCCACTGGGTCGATGAATGGACCATTCTGACACCATATAGCAAGAATCAGTGTGAGAACGAGGAGGGCTGACAAGTAGGAAAGCAGAGGTACTGGTGTTGAGAGGCAATTCCTGATAGGCTGAGGGTGCTTAGCCTCTGGGTCTGATAGTGACTGGGTGCCCTGGAGTTCTCAGTTATCAGAACTAATGTCCACATCCTTCCCTGCCTTTGATTTTCTTGCTTTAGTTGAGTTGGATTTCCATCTTTTGCAAACAGAAACACCTTTTCTAATTCACAATATTTTGCAAAACTTTCTGGCCTTCATATGTGCACTGGAATACACAGCGGCTAAGATGTGGCTCAGCCTCAAGAATGTCACTCTAGTCCAGGAAGGGGCTGACAGGGTCTGGTTCCTGTCCTCAAGACAAGGACTAGAAGGCAGGGATCACCCTAAGCAGGATGCAGATCCCTAGATGAACACGGGCCACCCAAGTATCAGGATGGTGGTCCACAGCCTGTCTTAGAAGCCTTGACACAGGACATCTTCTCCTGGGGCTCCATGGTTCCCTAGGAGTTTTCAAAGAAAGGGAGCCTACTAGCCATTTTCCCAAGGCTAAAGGGGATTCCTGGCACATGTGCCAAGCCAAAGAAGCTCCAGGCAGGCTGGGATGGCTGGTTACCTTAGCCTCAGGAGAGCCTTAAATTCCCAGCTGGGTGTGTAGTGTGGAGGCTCCTAAGGAAAAGGCCTAGCAGCAGCTCCCAGTATTCAGAAGGGTAGTTAGGTCAGAGCCTTGGCCTGGGCAACTCCTCTGTTCGAGGACTCAGCTTAACCTTGAAAATGGGTTAGACACCACCTCTTCCCCAAATATTGACCTCCATGTTTACCCAATAGCTTCAAAGACGAAAGGAAGGACTGTAAGTATGGGAACTTAATCTGGAAAAGGCAGCGGTTCTGGAACATCTGTCAACGGACTGATAAAAGGACAGTTCTAAGTTAACAGTGACCACTAAGCACTGTGAGTCCTGAGCAGGGGGCAGGCTGAACAATCTCCAAGCACTGTAATGTCTGCCTCTACCCTTTTTTTTTTTTTTTTTGGTTTTTTTGAGACAGGGTCTCCCTGTAGCCCAAGCTGTCCTGGAACTCACTATGTAGACCAGGCTGGCCTTGAACTCACAGAGATCTGCCTGCCTCTAGCTCCTGAGTGCTGGGACTAAAGGCTAGCGCCACCATGCCCGGCTGTCTCTACCCTTTTAAGGTAACAGTGAGTGATGACATAATTTCCCATGGCATCATGGTTAACAAATGGAAGAACTGAAATCCACAGCCTAGACTCTAGGTCTGGGACTTCTGTGGGCACAGAATTCCACAGGTACATTCCATCCAGCCCTAACTGGGAGCCCAGAATGTGGGAAAGGAATAGCCCAGGCATTCACTGGGCTCTTCCAACATGTTAGACTCTCAGCCCATTCACATGAGTTTGCTCATTCCATGCTCCCAGCAACTTCATCTGGAGGTCATCATTCTATCCATTTTATAGATGGGGACATTGAGGCTCATGAGGGAGCGTAGCTTCTCCCTCTTGCCAAGCAGCAGAGGACAGGGCAGCATCTGTGGTGACTGAAGAGGTAAGTGGCGAGAGAAAGGCTGTAAGATTACAGAACAAGGTTGGAACAGCCTGGAGCCCAAACTTTCCATCTAACAGAGAAGCCAGAGGCAGAGAACAAGGTGCTGAGTTGGATGGTGAGCCATTAGGCAGCACTTGAACTGTCTCCTAACACCTACATTCCAAGCTGAATACTCTTTTTGTCCTAGGGCAGAAGAGTGGGGTATGTGACACAACAGATAAGTTGAACTACCTTCTCAAAGGTCTCTCAAAGCTTTCCAGATGACAAGGGTAAACTGGGAGCAGAATGGACCACTTTGTGTATTTTGAAAGATATAACCTAAAGCTGTAGAAGCATTTCCAACCTTGACTCCTGGCTTCCACAAACGCATATATTGCCTCTCTACTGTCAAGTCTGGGAATCACCAAGCTACTTGTCCCCAGGCTTGGGCAGATGCCCCATAGGGGACTGGGGCCCCCACACAACCTACTCATCCACAGCACAATGATTTCCTACAGCCTACAGCCCAGGCCACAGATCTCACCCGCCAGCCCCTCAGGGCCCAGCTGGGGCAGAGGTCTCAGTGAGGCCAAGGGACTTGTGGGAAAGCCGCATTGACCTTCCAAAGTCATGTGACTGAGCCTGATCTCCCAAGCGGCTCTCCCAGGCCTAATACTTGGGTCCTCCCAGGGAGGGGTGCTGAACAGAACAAGGATGGGGCCATCAGCCACTGTCACCCACCCTGTAATTTCCTGGACTTTTATCCATTTTCTCCTCAATTATGCACTGCTCAAAATGGTCCTTTGTGGCTTCCTCATGGGCTCTTGCCTGCTCAGGCCTTCTTGGTGTCCCGGGTAATTGCTAGTGGCCTTTTCTAAGTGTACTAATTAAAGGTGCCAATTTAATATTATATTTAAGACAAGACGCTCCACAATTTTCCAGCTAGTCATCTCCTCCCCTGCCCAGCCTCTCTGCTGCAGAGCTGGCTTCTCTGGGAAGCAGATAGGTCTCCCAACCAGCCACCTCTGGTAATAATGTCCCTACAGAAATGAGGCCGATCTGTGGAGCTTAACTCCAGTCCAGTTCCCCTAGCAGCATCCGGTCATGAGTACTGTTTCTGACTGTAAGATCCCATGGTGTACAGGCCCCAGACAGGGTTTGGTTCCCGCCTGGCATCTCGGACTGCAAAACACTTGGAGTGTTTTAAGAAAAATCCTAATTGTGAGTTAAATGAACCTCTATTTTTATTTTTTATAAATTAGCCAGTCTGTAGTACTCTGTTATAGCAGCAGGAACTTCATCCTGTTAGGAGATGAGTTCAAGCGCTGCTTTATGGTCACCATCCAGCTTGGTGGACTCAGGATACAGATCAGTTGGTAGTGCTTGCATAGCATGCCCAAGGCCCAGGGTTTGATCCCCAGCACCGGACTGACCAAGTGTGGTGATACCAACACTTGAGAGGTGGGGGGATGAGGATCAGGAGTTCAAGGTCATCCTACAGTAAGTTTGAGGTCAGCCTGGGCTACACAAATCCCCCCCACCCCTCTGTATTCTAGCAAAATACACATACCACAGAATTTACCATCTTCACTATTCAAAGTGCACAATCTGGTGCCCTTTGGTGCATTCACAATGTGCAACCATCTTTCATCATTCCCAAAGGAAACCTTGCATTCATCACAAAGCCACTAGCAGCCTAGGCTTCCACACATCTCTCCATCTCTTGGATCTTTCTGCCCCAGACATTCATATCAACTGAACCAGTGGCCTCTCCTGTCTGGCTTCTTTCACTTAACAAGGTTGGGCCACGTTAGCACCCATGGTAGAATGCCATTCCTTTCAATGATTGACTCATTCTCTCATGTGGAACCTAACATATCCTCTTTGTGCGCTCCTCAGATGGCAGACATTTGGGTTATTTCCCCCTTTGGGCTATGAATAATGCTGATGTGAACGTTGTGTAGACATTTTTTTGTGAATACCTGTTTTGTTTTTGTTGTTTATATACATAGGAGTAGACTTGCTGGGTCATAGGGCCATTCTGTGTTTAACTTACTGAAAAACAGTCAAATAGTTTTGTTCAGTGGCTGCACCATTCTGCATATTCATCAGCAGTGGATGAGGTTGGAGTTCTTTTTTGTGCTCAGGGTTCCAGTGATTCACAGGGGCTGTGGGGGGGTCTCTGATGATGATGGGGAGGTATCTACAGCAGGTACAGTTGGTACTGTGACCGCTTACCCTCAGTGCCACACACACCAGCTTAGCCTCCAATGGCCAGCCCCTGCCATGTGCATGCCCACGGTGGAGGGGCTTAGTGAATGGTTGTTGGAAATGATGACTAATGAGAGGGTGTAGAAAGACATCCCAGCTCTCTTGGCTCTCACAGGGAGCTGCTCAGAGGCACATGTTCTATACTGCCTTCTAGAGGTAAGAGGATTGGTCTCCAGTTGTCTCCGCTGATGACTTGGTTTGGGTTGTGCTTTGAATGTGCCCTCCAAAGGCTCATGCATTAGAAACCGTCTCTAAATTCATAACTGTTACCATCTGCAGACGTGGCCTTAGGGAAGCAATCAGAATTAGATGAGGTCATGAGGTGTGACCTTTGCAAAGGCATTAGGGCCTATATTGGAAGAAATTCCTGAGCTAGCATGCTTGTTCTCTCCTATGATGCTGTATGAAGACCCCCACCAGTTGTCAGCACTGTGTTTTTTAACTTCCAGCCTCCAGAACCATGAGCTAAATGAACCTCTTTATAAATTAGCCAGTCTGCAGTATTCTGTTATAGCAGCATAAATCCAGCTTTCTCTATATTACATCCTCACCCCTTCCCTAGAGCTCCTGAGATCACCTCACCAGTCAACCACCTGCCTTTAAGTCTTTATCACAAGGTCTCATTCTTGGCAAACTCAAGTAAAACACCCCATAGGTCTGCACATTGGAGGTCTGGTGGATG